AATAAAAGCATGGTATTTCCCTTGAATACTGAGGATTGAGGTCAACGGTGATGACGATGGCTATTGATGATGATGAAGTAATGGGCGAGGTGGTTGTTAGAAGGAAGAGGCGTTTTGCCCATCCTCTTGGTTGCACGCTTAGGGGCCATGATTAAGGGCACAATTAATGCAAATTAACAATAACTCAAGGTCAAGAAACGCGGAATAATACGTAGCTGTACGCCAACGTACACGCACTACAACAGTCACTATGCGAGAGAGAGAGAGGGAAGAGAGTGGTGGCAGGAGCTGGGAGATGAGACGATGCGGGTGATCTGAAATCACAAGTGCCGGTCGCTGTGCTCAACCGCGGATACACAAAACTCCACACCGTGGTTAGCAAATTGGAATGCCGAAGGAAAACCGTGGATATATAAATATCGCGAATGCTAAAGACGCCGTTTGTGAGGGATAAAAAGGCGACGTTTGCGATCATTGGGCCTTCTTCGTTGTTATACAGGAGGTCCATTACCTGAAACGTCGCATATTGCTATATTCTCCCTATTTTAAGAAAACTCAGAGAGTCATCTCCTTTACCAGTGGCAAAATATAGTAATAGGATTTTAGCCTGATAATTGGTTTGAAATGAGGTTCCAATGGTGAGGTTTTTACCCTTTCAACGGGTACAAAAACTGACACCTTTATACAATGCATCGTGTTTGCAATAACCACAACACAAGCAGTCAAAATGCAAACAAAAAGAAACAACTCTGATGATGATAATGATATGCGCTGTCCTTGAAGTTGATTGGTCCACACCCGAGACAGCTTTTATTAGAGCCTAGAGATAAAGGAGATGTCTCATAGTGTGAATGCTTACCCCGAGCTCTCAATACTCTGATAGTGCACTGTTTTTGAGTTGTACGCCTTTTGCCGTCATCTAGTCCAACACCAATGGAGACTAGGCTCTAAGAAAAGCTGTCTCGGGTGTGGACCAATCAACTTCAAGGACAGCGCATATCATTATCATCATCAGAGTTGTTTCTTTTTGTTTGCATTTTGACTGCTTGTGTTGTGGTTATTGCAAACATGATGCCTTGTATAAAGGTGTCAGTTTTTGTACCAGTTGAAAGGGTAAAAACCTATTACTTTAAAACTCAGAGAGTTTGACGCACCCCAAACTTGTGGCCGGTGGCAATAAACCAATGCAAATGTGGTCTCGCACACACACGCACACAGCGACCGGATTATAAGCAGCACGCCCAACTTTGACTTTAAAATACAGGGGGTCGGTGGGCGGTGTGTCTTATCATTCGGAAAGTACAAGATATAACGTGTCCTCTGAAGGGCGGTGCTATCGATGAATGCGTTGAGTTATTGTTATCAGTCTATGGGGATGGCGTGAGGCACAGTACACCACGGAAGGGGCTTGTTGCGTGCCAAAGTCGCCCCCTGCCCCCCACTGGCCCTGGACACTAACGGGGGCTCCATTGCTTTTCTCCTGATGCACAGCCGGGCCCGGTATAGGGGCCCACCTCGGCATCTGGTTTTCATTTAGAGGAGTCTGCAAGCGGAGTCTGCAAGCGTGGCTTCGTGAAATTAACTTTCGCTCCAATGCCGAGTTCAAAGAGAACGTTCTTTGTGGGAAGATGAACTCGAATACCCACTTAAGAGTGCGGTTGTAAAAAAGATTGTGGGTTCCTTTAAGTGTCTTCAGTTGCCTTTAAATAGACGTCTATCTAAGCTCGTCTGTAGATTCAGCCAACTGTGATTCATCGATGGGCGTATTGTAAAGGCTGGGCTGGCTCAGGTGGCTTTATTCACACCTTTAACTTTCTTATTATATCCCCATCTCATCTTTTGGGTATTCCTCAAATACTTAGCATCTTACGTACAAAGCTCCTCGAGACTGGACCCACAAAGCTTCATGTTGATCAGTTAACAAGCATCCCTTTGGTGGAGTCATCCCCAATTTAACACCAGACTGCTTCTCCTACTGACAAAGCCAAATATTCACTTCTCCTTGAACTCTTTCGGCCTGCTTCATCCACTTAAGCCAGTTTGTTAATGAACTTTAACTCAGCACACCTACTATTTGACAATACTTTCAACTGCTAAAATTAAGTTTTCGTTCACTCTCGAAGAGAGATAACGACTCAGAGGCACGAGGAACCAGACAAGAGAGGGGGGAGCCACTGCGGCGAGCTGGCACCAACAGTTGCCCAAAGCTCTGCGGTCCTCTAATATATGAAGATATTTTTAGCCAACTAATGAGTGTTCACATTGTGTCGTCACCTAAAATATGGGTGGCGTGATGACGTAGGGAATTGTGCATTGCGACATGAACCCGGCGGCCTAGATTGATTTCCGGCCACGGATAACATTAGTGCTGATATTTATACAAGTTGCTACCATGCTCTTCACCAACCCGCACTGACCAGCGTGGTGAAGTATGATTAAATAACCACCACGAGTCGCAACGATGGGCCAACGTTGGCGCGTGGTTGGCATCTTTTGACGAACGTTGGCCCAACGTTCCATTCGCCAATGGAGGGATTCACAAGAAATGATGTGTACGTGTACAAGTACCGAAGATGCAAACTCAAGAAACGTTCCGCAACCACCACAGCTCTTACCATGTATGTGCCTTCCTGGGCTGTGTCCAATACAAGTTCGACGTTTGACGAATGAGAGGGAAAAAAGATGTTAAACGTTTTACCAAGCTCAGTATTATGTTTTTGTAAATACCGCTTAGACGAGAGCGGGTTGGCGTACTTTGTGAAGATGAACTTGACAATGAAAGGTTAACTTCCTCATGTTTACAAACAAGAGAGTTGCTTAATAAGTGTCTAGCATTTACCTGCAGTGACATACGGTTTAAGTCGTGGTAGTTGCGACCACGTGATGTTAGGATGGGCTCTACCAAGTGCGGGTGAGAAGAGAGGGAATTGTCATGACGGTACTTTTCATCGGCACCAGTAGCGATGGGTCTACGAAAGGTAACACGTTTACTGTGCTGTGTATCCATCACTCGTTTTTCATGAAAATTATCATGGACAGTTGAAATATTTTAAACGAGAGAATTGTTTTTAGGTTTTTTTCTTATCTATTTCCAGGAAAAATCTATGTAAATATAAAAAACACAGTCTTTCGTGGAATAACATTGTACTTCATAATGAATGAGCGTAACAACCAATAACACTGGTCAACACACTTTATCTGGCATAAGGTATTCCAACGGTTTTAAGGTAATTTTGGGGTGCTGATTCCAAATCTGGCATCAGTTTTTGTCTATCACATACGATTTTTGAGATATCAAATATTGCATTTTCAATAAAAACAGCAAATTTAGGCTCATATACGAATATCTAAACAGACATCCATACAAGAATAATATATAATTAAAAGGCAGAAAAAGGCCGTTGTTGCAGGGTTAATACATACTCAACACAAATTTGCGTTACTTTGTCGGATACCTCTTTAAAAAAGGACGACCAATTAAGGCACAACTAACAACCGTACGTAAACTGTTCAAAATATATGAACGCTACACCTTTCTACAGCCTATACACCTGTCAACGATGTTTGGAATATAGCATCGAAAGGAAAACATCAGTGTTGCTATCATATCGGAGGGATCAATATCGACCTCAAAACATCAATGCATCGGAACCAAAATATCGATGTTACCGATGTTTTTCTGCCGGTGTGTAGAGGATTTGGCCACTATAAATGTCCACATGATAAGCCGCTTCTCGATGAACTATCGTTTGTGGCCAGGTCGCTTCTGTCAAAGAGCTGCATAGCTCAGTGGGCCTTGCCTGGTCAAATGAAAAAATAAAATCTTGACTTAAAGCTTTCGTGGCTGCAGGAATTCATATTCTGGTAGTTTTTGTTCATGTTTTTTTAACCTATCTACGTGATTTAACTACACATATTTGTACCATCTTATATGACAGGTACTATTCTACTTTACCGAGTGTTGACATCCCCAGCGTTTAATAGTATTGCTTACTTGTATGCTTATTATCAGCTAACACCGGACACAACTATGAGCCGATGTGCACCATTGTTCTCTTTTAGCCCCGCTCCCGAGGACCATCATCTTGGCTGCCACATTCAGACAAGCCCCCCCCCCACAACTCTAGGATCACCTTCCTCGCTCCACCCACACCCCCCATCCTGCACCTCGTCCTCCCTCCACTTTCCGTTGCACCCGTCCTCTAGGATCACCTTCCTGGCCCCCCCCACCCTGCACCCGTCCTCCTTGGCTCCTCCCCCCTCCTCTTACCCTATATAATAATGTACCATCACAAATAACTCTCACTACAGTTATTTTGCTGTGCCTTTTTACACCTGATGAAGGAAGCTTGTGTTGCCTCCGAAACGTCGTGATTTATTATTTTATTTCTATTTTTATTTCAAATCTTTTTGTTATTTATTATTTATTTATTTTACCTACGTGACTTTACCGAAAAAAACTAAGAGTATGAATCCTTGCAGTCACGAAAGCTTCAAATCTAGAACTATCTACGTGACTTTACCGAAAGACCCAAAGAATATAAAAATAACATTTTTAGTTTCATATTCTTGGTTCTTTCGGTAAAGTCACGTAGAAGGGAAATAATAAAAATTGAAACAATGAAATTCGCACGACGTTTCGATTGCAACACAAGAAATCATCATCATCAGGTGTGAAAACCACAGCAAGAAAATTTGAAAAAAGTGGCGGTTTTCTTGCTGTGGTTTTCACACCTGATGATGATTGCTTGTGTTGCAATCGAAACGTCGTGAGAATTTCATTGTTTATTTTTTATTTCCCTTCTACGTGACTTTACCGAAAGAACCAAGAATATGAATCCCTGCAGTCACGAAAGTTTTATGTAAAAAAATTGTTTCGTTTTAAGAAATCGCACGTGGCAAATCGTGACGTCACCCCACAATACGCCCCGCGCGATGACGTAACGACGTCTTCACGTACGTCATCACGTTGCACGCAACCAACGCGGTGACGCAGCCAACGCGATGTTTGGCCAATCGGAGGCTGGCGATGGCGTCTGGCGGACTGCTATGAACCTTCGCTGTGTGAGCCGAGCTGTATTCGCCGCCACGCAGGGCGCCTCGTAAACCCGACAAGGTGCTCGCGTTTGCGGCCGCGATTGATGAGTTCCAAATGATCCCCTCGAGTGGCGTGTACGAACTTCAACCGCGGGCGCGACGAACGGCGGCTCGCCGCAAGGCCTAGTTACGACCTCGAGCCTCGGTCTCGCCTGAGTTGCCTACCGAATTCCGGGGGGCGCCGCGGCCCCCGTGGGGTGGAGCGCAGCGAGCCCATTGCCCTGTTTCAAATTGGCCGCCTTTTAGCGGCTGCTGAATGAGTTAAATTGTTTTAGTTTCTTAATTGTAGTAACACGCCAATGAATCGCCCTAATTCGGGACCGAAACCTCATCTGGAGATTAAATAAAGTCGGTAATTCCTCAAATAGTCTCGGCACGATTTCAATGAGGGTTTTGAATTAGGTTGTTTGGTTGCTTCGGATGAGATTTATTTCTTGTACAAAACAACTGAAGTACGTGAAGACGACTTGGTGCGCATATACGAGATAACGCTCAAACGTTTGCAGAGACAGCATTACAAATACACGCCTAGTCGCAAGACTTCATTCTAAAGCACTGCGTGACTAAAACGTGAATATTAATACATGCCAAATTACTTTTGCTGTTGTCTTCACATTTCTGTGTCGTTTTGCTGTAGACTTATATTTGAGAAGTCGGCATCTGATATAAATGCTAGAGACTTGACTGATCAGTCTCATCGTCACGCTTTCCCATATCGCATCTGGTTGGTAACGCCCCACCCCTCCCATCACTGATGTTGATTTTTGAAATCTGGCTCAGGTCCGTCAAAGATGAGCACGGTGCAATGCTAGTTTTCATATTGATATAGTGATCATTTGGATGTTTGTTTTAATGTGTTGTTATTTCATATTTTTTGTTCTGCACTGGTTTTCAGATCTACCGATCTTAATTGTTTTTAAAAAGAAAAGTCAAGTCTCCAGTGGCCTATACCCAAGAAAGATGTCAAAAATGTCCAATGTTCGAGTTAAGGTGGAAAAAGGTGAGTCTCATCGTCCAATTGATTGTATAAACGCGTAAGGGCATATTACACATTTGCATATTAAATGAGCTTATGATGCTGGCTTTTGATAGTGTATGTTTTTTTACCTTTCAGACGGGGAGCCTTCAGCTGCACGAAACAAGCTGGATGCAGTGCTGCAGTTCCTTGTAGAGAAAAATGACCAGGAAAGGTAATTGCGACACTTCACTGGTGGTGTGTATGTGTAAAATAACTGCATTGAGATTTGAAATCTTGTTGCTTGAACAATCATAATGTAGCATAGTGTGCAAATTTTAAGAGTGGGGTGGAGCAGTGGCACAGAATTTAGCACACTGCGCTATGAACTGGGTGATCTTATTTCAATTCTTCAGCCATTTGTTGCCAAAAGGCTGAACATCGTATGATGTCAGGAGTATGAACTGACAGATAGGGGTTCTAACGGTTTTTATGTTGGGTGCAAAGTTTATCATTGTGATTATATTTTTATTTAAATATGATTACTTCACCCTAAGTGCCGGAACATTAATGAGATTAAACTGTCTGCAGAGAACAAGAAGAAGGTGAACATAGACTGGGTCAGAATGAATTCAACACCAAGTAAGATTTTACGTGCAAATAGTTTTACATTGTTACACGAGCACACATTCCAAGTGTATTTAATGGTATTTATGGATATGCTTTGGTGTTGTACATTTTCCCTGTGGGATTGCTTATAAACAAATAACTATGTAAACATTGCCTGGCCAGTAATTACATTCATATTGAATCTCTTCTGCTTTTACAGGGACACTTCACCTACTGGCATCAAACGGTGAGTAAGCAAAACGTTATTTGGGAACGTTTTAGCAGTTACCTTTGAGATGTTCTGACATTATTAACTATTTATTCTGACTATGGTACCTTTTATGCATTTTAAATAATCAGGAGCACAAGATTCCCCCATCAAAAACGGAAGAGGAGAAAGGATGTGGATGATTTCATTTCAGAAAACAGCCATCCAAAACAGAGTACGTTTCTTTTTACTTAATGAAAATACAATTTCATAATACATCTTTAAAAAATGTGCAAAACAGTTATGTTACTCGGTTGACTGCGGAAGAGGAGAAAGGATGTGGATGATTTCATTGCAGAAAACAGCCACCCAAAACAGAGTACGTTTCTTTTTACTAAATGAAAATACAATTTCATAGTACATCTTTAAAAATGTGCAAAACAGTTATGTTACTCGGTTGACTGCGGAAGAGGAGAAAGGATGTGGATGATTTCATTTCAGAAAACAGCCATCCAAAACAGAGTATGTTTCTTTTTACTAAATTAAAATACAATTTCATAATACATCTTTTAAAAATGTGCAAAACAGTTATGTTACTCGGTTGACTGCGGTTTTCTTCACATACACTCATTTGTCTTGTGTCGTTTTTCTTCTGGACAACAGACACGTACGTGATGAAATTGTTTGACCGGAGTGTGGACCTTGCTCGGTTCAATGAGACGACGCCCCTCTATCCCATCTGCCGTGCCTGGATGAGCAACAACCCCGGGCACAAGGATGATGGCACTGGCCTCACCACCATCACTGATTCCACCGAAAACGACAATACAGGCGTGCGTTACTTTTATTCCATATCCATTGTGAATTGCTAATTGCAGGGTATATGATGATTCTGCAAGGAAAAATGGAAGGTAAGAGGGGAAGAGGAAGACATTTGACCATTTGGGAAAGTGTGGGAAGTTAAATAAGACTGTCTCTTAGCCTGAATATTGTAAAAGAAGGAATACACATTTCATGGATAATTCCTCAGTTATGAGAATGGTACTTAATTGTATAAAAAAAATGGTCAAGTGTTCCAATATTAGGTAAAAAAAATTCTCAATTTACACGCAATCACTGTGATAGTTAAATGCATAACATGTTTCTTAATTGAAATATTGCTGAATTGTATTTGTGTAGTGGTTTTGTGTTGTGTGTTTTTCTGTTTGAACTAATTAGTACGTTTGCTGCACCTGGAAGATCAGGTGACAGAATTCCTGAACGGGGAATGTGTGGAAGTGTCACGACTGCCTCCACCCACTCCAAGCACCAACAAATGAAAATGGAGTTCACATCAATCTACGCATCCCTTCCCCCATTCCTCAACCGGATGAACACCTTAACATCCGCATGGTGTGTGTGCACAGAAGCTATTTTAATAGGCCATGTCAGTATGGTCACATCAACATAGGAACATGTGTATTCTTCCTCCAGATTTACAAAACCTCCCACGTGAACACATTTACAGTGTCCAGAAGCCATATAATTATATCATCCCGACTAACTTCGTTTCTAAATCTTAAAATCATCGATTAGGTTAAGCATTCTAAATATGAGAATTGTGCTTTTGAGTAGATATTTCCAGAAAAGATGTGTTTGGCATGGTAAATGAACGGTTACAAAGTTAATAAAATGAATCCCTGTCCATGTTGGTAAAGCCACATTATAGTGTGAGCACATTTCTAATAATGCAGTTGACAAACATTTTGTTTTTGCAACCAGGTTTGGTTAAAAACACACGTGAGCAGAAGCAGTGGATGCGGGAGAGGGAAGTTGTGATTGTTATAAATATTCTCGTGTTGCTTCAAAACCTATTTTGTGCTCTCAGCCGGAAGAAATGGCACCACCAAATCCCATTCTGCTGTACAACCACATGGAACGATGGAAGAAGATCCGGCAAAAGTGAGTGCAGCCCGTTGAATTTGTGTTTCAACTTGGTTGATCTTTATTTGTTTGGCCCACTGTCATGGAAGTTTTTTTTATATATAAACTCTGCTTATATACTTTAATCCTGCTTTTATACCATAGGACCCACAATCGTTTTCAACTCTTCTTGATTTCGTTTCAGGTGGAGGGTGGCCTCCCACCACAACCAGATGCGTTATGCGGAAAGCATGAAGATACTAAAAGAGATGTTTGACCGACAATGATGATTCTGTGTTTTAATTGTAAATTGCATTATCACATTTTATACATCTTCAATCAACTGTATAAAAATGTCTTTATATACATGCGAATGTATACATCTGCTTCTGTAACATATTTTTTATGTAATATTTTAAAATTTTAGAATGTTAAGTTGATCCAAATAAACCATTTACATTTTTCTTGTACTAGTCTGTTTTTAAATTACAAAACATCCGATTCGCGTGGCTGGCTACGTACGGTGCGATAGAAGTTCAACATATGTGGAGAAACATGAGTTAACGAACGACTCAATGAAGGAGTTAACGAACATTTAAATGAGTTAATGAACGACTGAATTCGAACCAACGATTGAATGAGAACGACTTGAGCTAATAAACGACTCGAGTTAACGAGTGCGTGCGTTGAACCAACGGCTGAATAAACGAGTTAACGAACGACTCAACCCGCACCTCCGATGTTGGCTACGTACGGCGCGAAAGAAGTTCAACATACGCACGTGAACGACTGAGTGAATCAGTGGTTACGTATTGAGTCAGCTGTTACACACACCCCCCAGGGCCCACAATGCATCGCGCTTTGTCAACATGGCTGCGCCCAGCCGCCAGGGCGCTTCACGTGTCCATCCCTGCGCACTCTTCCACTCGGCCGTGGAAACCGTCTTGAAGGCTTGGCCGGTCTTGCAGGTACTCGTGTCACATTGAGGGAGCCGTCGCCCCCTTCAGTTTTCGTTGTAGGTTGACTTGTGGGCTTCGCGCGTGCGTTCGGGCCTAGCAAAGAGCGACCCTCCGCCGTCGCATAGTTTTCCTGCTGAATTCAAGCCACCCTGGCGGTAGAGCCGCAATGCTCGCACCCTGGTTAAGCCGGTCGACTTAACGCACCCTTATAATTACACTTAACCACACATAGTCTCAGGTACGTAAAGTAAAAGACGAGATTGGTTTAAGTAAACGTCTATTTTTTGTTTAAAATCCTGTCTTGCCACCGATACACTTCACCCGTTTTAAGTGAGTAAGTCGACGAGTGAAAATAACTCGTTCACAGGATTGGCCAGGAATCCACGTTAAGAAACCGCCTCGAGACTAATCGAGGTTTTTCAGAGTAAATGCATGAACCGCATAACATGTGTAAGTATGGGTTTAATACGTGTCTCTGTGTGTGCACCTTAATACTAACGTTTCCTTTCCCCTCTGCCCGGTAACTTCATAAGCCCCTCCTCACCCGCCCTCCCTCCTGCAATCATTCTATGGAAAGTCCTGTTGATGCTAACGTCTTCCTGTTCGTATATGGCAGGGGTCGGCAACCTACGGCTCCGGAGCCGCATGCGGCTCTTTACGGGCTGCTTCTTGACGATGAGTACGTATGTACTCAGATGCATTGCGGCTCTTGAAATACTGAATTTTGTACCGAATTGGAAAGAAATGGCTCTTCTTGTTATTTTGGTTGCCGACCCCTGGTATATGGTCTTGGATGTATGCTGGACTTCTTTCGCACCGTAATTAGCCAACCGTGCTAATCGGAGGGCTTGGAATTCAGTCTCGTTTAATTAATTTAATTAAATATATCGTGTTCAGTCAGAACCACGTGCAAAATAGGACGGTTTCGAGTAAAAACGTTGGCTTCGTCGTTAGCATAAACCATTGTCAATCTACTGCTGGATGAATATTTCCCATAACCGTTGACATCAATCCCAACCTTGTCGGATGGTAGACAAGATTGGAGGGAGATATACTGGGAAATCGTTTCACTAATGAGGTGTGGCAAACGTTTCAATTATAGTGGGATAATATAAGTTATGTACGAGTGGGATTGAGACGGCGTTTTCAGTTAAGGAGTTCGTCAAATTTCAGTGCGGTGTAAATAAAATAAGTACCGGCGTTTTTTATATTGATTCGCTGGTCCATGTCATAGGAATGTGAAATTCCTCACCACTGGCTTGAAGGCTGTAAAATAAAATCAACACTGCTCCATGCTTATCAAACAGGGAGACACGTAACCTTTTGCTTGTGCTTTTGGCCATCTCCACTCTCCCTTGCAGATAGCGGTGGAGAATGGTTTCGGAGGCGTGTACAGTCAGCAGAAAGCTGAGTGGATGGTGGGTGTTGTGGAGTCGTTTTTCTACGAAAACGGTACGGAGTTGACTTCATTGCTGTGCGGCACTGTTCTTTCTGGAGTTCTGTATCAAGCAGCATGTTAATCCTGCGATCGAATGCACGAGGGTTTGGTACATATACGTACATGTAATATCCCCTTAGTCAATACACTGCAGAAAGAGGGCCTCCCCGTGCCGTGTCGGGCATGGGAGTTGTTTGACCATGATTCACCACGCTGGTTAGTGTGTGTCGGTGAAGGGGAAGGGCCCAGGACTGGTTGAGGTATTGCTTGCCATTGATTGTAGCTGGGAATTTAACTCTGATTTAATTGGCGCAGTGCGTGAACTACTGTGCCACTTATCCTCAAGCACGGTAATAATGATGGTGCCCATTATTTACCCAGGAAAGTAGCACTATATCTCACTTTTTTATGTGTGTGTTCTCCTTTGGCATATATGACCACTTCCATTTAATGAGTGTTTTGTACGTGTTACAGTTGAAACAATGTGAATGATCCTTAAATCTCCACGTCTATTTTCACCCACAACTGGGGAGTCAGTAGATCATCAGTGAGGGTAGTGTGGGTACTCTTGCTTCTTAAGAGACATCTAGGTATTCTGTAGAGATCCCCCTGTAGTCGGAGGACCTTTCCTCGAGCAATAACTTGAGCCCGACAAAGTCGGGGCTTTGTACTTACCAAAAATTGTGGAACCGGTGGAGGTTTGAGAAACTCGCACCAACTGGGCTGTGAAATGGCCAGGATATGATAGTACGATATTAATCGATGAACTACTATATGATTGGAAGACATGAAGATGAATGTTTCATTCTGCAGGCAACTTGGAGTCCTTCGAGGTGGAAGACTTCATGACAGATATCCTCAACAATGAGTTTGACACAGTCATCGAAGATGACAGCTTACCACAGGTACCATGGATGATGCCCGAGCAATCCCTAAGCCTATTTTAAAGCACTTTATATTACAATTCATTATAGATGTGACCTGGAGTTCTGTGTAAAATTCAGTGTAAAGAGACAGTTGTTTGAACTCGTAGCAATTTCTATCATGCTGTATTGGTTAGAGTTGGAATGTAACCAGAAAATAAATGTTCAGGCCTTGCATAGGATGATTGGAATTTCATTTCAGGATTGGATAAACAAGGAAATTCCTTTTAGATCATGTAAACAAAGTGTTTTGTATATGTAATGAGGAAAAGGAGGTCGAGGTGGGTGGATGTCCCTACTGGACATCTGTGAAAATGAGCTTTATAGCATCGAATTCCTCCAGTATAAGTAAATATTCCGATTCAAACGTGTGTGGGATGGATGAGTGCAGGCTATTCAAATAGTCATTGTGGTGGGCATGTAGTTGTCGATAATCAATGTCAAAGGCAAATATCCAAACGCTAGGGATACTGTAAGAACGGACCTTAATTACGGAGTCCAGTGGAAGGTAGCGATTGCAGGTTGCTATGGCATCAACCGCATGGGCCACGATGACCTCTGTATCATTCCTTTGTACGTAGACGTTAAACAATGAGCGCTTGCTGTTGTCTGGGCGTGCATGCGCAGGTGTCACGACAGCTCTGCACGCTGTTTGGCCTCTGCACCGGTGGGCGTGCGAGTGAAGCGACGCAGTTTATGGAGACGCTGAGCCAGAAGAGCTTCAACCACAAGCTGAACGTGACTCGCGTCGGAGACAGCGACGAAGACGACGACGATTCTGGTGGAGCCAATGACGAGGTGATCATGCGGCATGTTTTTAATATCAGCTGCTGGGTCTTATGGCCAATTGTAATAATATTTTCAAAAATGATATTGTAAATGTTTGATTTAAAGCTTTCGTGACTGCAGGGATTCATATTCTTGGTTCTTTCGGTAAAGTCACGTAGAAGGGAAATAATAAAATAATATCAATATAAAATAATACAATTCTCACGACGTTTCGACTGCAACACAAGCAATCGTCATCAGGTGTAAAATCCACAGAAAGATTTCACACCTGATTATGATTGCTTGTGTTGCAGATGATATTGTGTCATTCATGCCAACGTCATCCCACAGTTGGTTATGTTTGTTCCCCTCGCAAACATTTGTAATTAAAACACGTTGAAATACGTGATTTTTATCAATAATAAATCTGAGGCTTCTTCAATTTTGTGAATCTTTTAAAGCCTATTGTTGATTATTTTGTTTAAAATTTTCAATTTATTTGTTAAAATTTTGCTCTCGCCATCGCATCCTGAAATGTCTCAGAGATTGGCTGTGGAAGAGATTTTGCCCAGCGCTGCTCCTACGGCTACCCTTTCATCTGATGAGATTGTCACATGACAGCAAATGCAGTATTTCTTTAATTCTCGGAAATAAAATTTAGCCAAATCTAATCCACAGTCATATTGATGGATTTCTTTTGTATGCAGTAACTCATGACCAGGGGCTGAGAACCTCCACTCTTAAGGGTCCGTTGCTTTGCAAACTAACGCCTGCGCATCTTGCCCTTAATCAACTCTTCAACTTCAACTCTGCTCTCTCAGGCCATGGACTGCGCCGAAGCGGCGCAGCCGCCGCCGTCGTCGGGAGAAGTAGCGCAGCCGAGCGCGCGGAGCTCCAGCGAGAGCCAGCGCAGAGCTGAGCCGGGCGAGGACGGCTGGACAACGGTCCAGCGGAGACGGAGATAGCACGAGCGCTCATCCCACCGCCTCCGTGTTTTACTTCATGTGTTCAGAATCACTATCGGAATATTTATTTGTACCGGAGGAATCCGATGAGCTGTAAAGATCTTTTTTCACGGGGACAGGTCAGAACGTGACCGCAAAACACAATACAAAAACACGACGGGAGTGCAAAGGAATGGTAAACAAATCGCCGAATAAATACAAATAAAAACGAATCTATTTTTATCTTACCAGGTAAAGCCCTATGAGCTATTGGCTTTTTCAGAAGTGACTTGGCTGAACGAAGCGGTTTATCATGTGGACATTTATAGCAGTAAAATAATCTAAATCTTCTTTCATTTGGCTGATTTAGATGTTAAACAACAACTGCAATTGCACATCCAGGTGGTCAAGCCAGATAACCGTGTAATAATTTAAATTGTCTAGACGCATGTTTCTAAATATGGAGGGGAAAACTGGAGGGCCTGGACAAAAAATTCACACGACCATAGGGAGAACATGCAAACTCCAAATATACAGCAGGCATCGGGGTTGAGTTTCAACCCCCAACCTGCACACCAGGCGAGGAAGATAACATCACAGCACCGTGGCACCCCTTACATAGATATATATCAAGTATATACGTTCAAATCCCATTAGTACAATTAATTCCCAAGCTTGAGTGGGTGCAAATGTATGTACAGTACAGGTAGGTCCTCTACTTCCGATGGAGATGCGTTACGACGACCCCATCGTAAGATCGAAATATCGTAAGTCGGACCATCGTAACTCGGGGACTACCTGTACTTATGTTGAACTTGTTTTGCACCTTCCATGGTCTACCGTGCCAATCAGGATGCGGGGGAAGGACGACAAGCTAAACACAAGAAACAGTTCTAAAGAAATTAGTTTTCAATTTAGATTTAAAAGTGCATACCTCCAGTGGCTTCCTGATATCAGAAGGAAGTGCGTTCCAGACAGCCGCTCAAGCGCATCTGAAAGCACGTGATGCAGCGGGCTCCGAGCAGAGTGTGCTGCGGTTCTATTGCATTGCACACACTAAGATGCAGCTATAAATCATACGGAGTGTTTCCCGAGCGCCCAGCTCAGTGCCCGACTGGTGGTTGGGCACTCGGTTAATTTGCGCTCGCCGCTGCTCCGGTACTCTTGCAATCCCTGCCGCATGTTCATTTGGATGTGGTGTGCGAACAGAGTTTGAAAAGCTGTTGTACACGTGTGCAATAGGGGGCGCTTCTGCCATTTGAGTGGACTGTTTTGCAAGCCCACCCCATAATGGTGGTGCACATCGTGCAAGTGTAATGCATTAGTCCTAAATCTTGCGCGTTCATTAAAAGTGCGTCGTGCTATTGGCCGGGCTCACGGTTTGTATTCCCGCGCGGCCCATGGAGACGTAAGTTAGAGTTACGCGGCATTCGCGGCGCCGTACATTTTGCGCGATTGCCATTAGCCTTATTGGCAACGCGAGTCGCAGGACGGGGCTCGCACGTCGATGTTTGCTGCATTTATTTACGACGTATTGTAGGAGCGTTACCAAATACGTTACTCGCGCAAATTAACGTTGCGTTAAAAGTGCAGCCCAGCCATTGGGACGATATACAACGCGTGTTTTTGTGGTGCATTAACGTGCTCACTGAGTAAATTCCAGCAGAGTTGCGATTTACTTTGTGAACGAGCAAACCAACAAACCGAATGGCAACTGCGACAGCCGGCTTTATTTATTTACGCGCATTTTCACTTTTTTTTTTTAAAGCCACGCGTGCACAAGTCGAGGAGTCGTAAGGCACGTGTGACCTTGGTGTGTTGAGCTGATGGATAGATCCACACCCAATCCTGTCCCACCCCCAAAGCCCCAGCACCCTCCCGAGGGCACTGCTAAGTGATTGATGGACCGCTAGCATCGGCGGCGTGCCACTCGCGACCTCGTCTATCCATCACGAACCGGGCCGAACAGGAGGCCAGTTTTTGCCATCGCCGCTACCACACGCTTGCCAACGTCTCTCTGCAGAGACTTTTGACGCGGCGGCAAGTTTGGGCTCGAGGTCCCCGGCAAACCGGCGGCCTGGATCACGCAAAGTGGAGACCGCGTGCCAGCAGCTGTGCGCCTCCATAAAGAACATTTCATTAATATGATAATGGACGTGCCTGTGTTGCGGGGATTTTGCACAATTGGTTTATGGTGGGCGTAAAACATTGCTCTTGCTCGTGTTTAGTATCGAAAGGTATTCATGCAATATCTGATGTACTAAAGATATTACTCCCCACGTTCATATATGTTTTACTACCGTTTTGTTTTGCCGAGTCTCCTTTGCAAACTGGATTTTTTCATTACACATCCACTGGCTTTTTTTAATAAATAAATTTGATTTATTGGAAGCAACGCTTTTGATTTCTTTTTAATTTTTATATCTAACATAAAAAGACAGCTGCTGCTGCAGAGTACAAACGGAGGCAGCAGGAGCCGCCGCAGACGTTGAAGGTTTCTGAGAAATATTTTCAACTGCTGGGCTCTGCTCCACATCCCAAGCGCTTGCCACCATGCCTTCCTGCCACAGTTCGTCCTGACGACTTGCTAGACCAGTGGATAAATGCAATTCAAGTGTGCGATTGACAAAGCAATATGATGCGTATATATAGAGCATTCACATTTCATTGGTTAGAATATTGTCATGCCACCCTGTCATAGGTGTGATACACGGGGGAGGAGTTGCAAGATTGGTGGTGCAGTGGTGATCGATGGGTTATGAACTCTGACCCGAGATTGATTCCTGGCAGTCGTTAACAGTGATGACTGATACCTGGACCGGTCTTGGGCTCCTCACCCCCTGCTTCTACGAATCCATACTGACCTATGTGGAGAAGCATGGTGGAAACAACCCCCACAACCAACACATGTGGATAGGCCTTCATCCCGTTCTGCGTTTGACATAGGGTCAAACATTATGGAAGGGAACAGTGGCTCATTAATGGGCATTTATTGTGGAGTGAACCCAGCAGTATGGGGTTCAGTCTCGTTAGCAATTCACACGGACACCCACACGCAGTGGTGTGGGGACCCTTCCATGCGGAGGAGACGGCGAGGGCCCAACTCCTGTGACCACCAAGGAATCGTTTTTCCCCGGATGAGAGTGAGCGGCGGTGGCACCGGAGGACTTGCTGCACGCCGAGCTCAATTGTCCAGCCATTTGTGGATTAAATTCCCGGTCCTCCCGTTTCCTCCCAAATGTATAAACCCTCATTAATGTACTGGAAAAAAACATCTTAGTATATAGAGGACTGCAACGCTTGGGCAACTGTTGGTACCGGCTAACCGCCTGGCTTCTGCCTTCAAGCTTGTTTGGTTCCTCAGCGATTGTGAGTTACATTCTGCATGAGTGGTGTGATGTGAAAGTTAACATACATAAAGGCATTGATACAATTTACACATTAAATAACCGGTACTTTATTTGAATCCCCCTATCTCTCTGTGCTTGTGCGTATACAAACCTCTCGCGAATCCACTGCTGGATGAGAGCCCTTCCCCGCAATGTGCGGGTCTTGGGGGAATTGGGGGATGGCTATTGCACCTTCATGCTGATCAGTGCGGGGTTGGTGAAGGGATGCAGCGTGCACGTTGGACCGAAGTACATTACAACAATTGATATATTTCCCTCTGCTGCCACGCAGTCGCCTCTAACAACTTTTTTTTTCGCATGGTGGTAATACTCATTTACCACCTGAGGCCGTCACTTGTTTTCCAGCGCGCTCGCATAACGTTGAACGATCGCGTTATGAACTCCAACATGGTATAGCGCGACAGCTGAGGAATGGAAAGGCAGCGAGACGCGTCCGAGATCCGCGTGGCTATCGATGCGTGCCACTCGACAGACCCTCCGAGTCGTTGCTGTGAAATTGACTGTCACAAGGTCACCGCCACGACTGACACCACCACCACCAGCAGCAGCGGCAGCAGCGGCATAAACGCCGTGCGGGGAACTTCAGCGAGATCAACAGCACGAGCAGAGGACGCCGGAACGCCACCAACGGCATACGCAGCAGTAGATGCAGCAACAGCAGCAGGAGGAGGCGTAAAATCATCGCAGCAACAATAACAGCAGCAGCAGCAGGAACGGTAGCAGCAGTAAGTGCGGCAGAAGCAGCAGCGAGAACACCAACGGCAGCAATCGAAGCAGGAGCAATATCTGCAGCAGCAAGCACACACACACAGTGAGAGCGTGAAGCTGCGAGCGCTTGAGTCGTGCCGCCTTTGCTGGTATCGCTGACAAATCACCGCTGGAATCGCGATGGAGCGCAACGAACTCGGGGCTCCATCCTCGCCGCTCGCTATGACCAGTGCCGGATTTTACGAGAAGCAAAAGTAGCTACATATGTAGCTACATATGTAGCTACGGGCCCCGCACTTTCAAGGGCCCCGTGCTAAACGCTTTCAAGCTATCAATTCCGGTTCAGTGATTCTGCACTTGTTCTATTACTAGAGTACTACACTGCCTTCAACTTTTATGAACGACTGGGTGTTTAAGGTTAGAGATTTGTCTATTATGCCGCTGTATAACAAATGAAAAAATACGATTACTTTACTTTACTATGCAAGTACAAATTTGTGTTTTAATATTTACGTGTCTTGTTTATTTAGGGCCCCTTTCTGACATATGCTACAGGCCCTGCACTAGCTTCATCCGGCACTGGCTACGACCCCCTCACCCAGACCAAACCCTCCTCGACACGTGGCGGAGGCCACGCGAGTCGTTTGACAGCGACTCCTCTTCTCGCCGGCGGGAATGAAATGACAGATCGCTCGTAAAAATTGCGCCTCGGAATTCTCACCAAAATCATTGCAATTCGCCAAAGCCGCGCGTCGTGTCGATCTTGATGTAGCCGGTCGGGGTGGTTGTGGCGGTGGTGATTGGGGGTGCTGGAGTGTGTATAGGACCGTGCGTTGAACTTCTTTCGCACCGTACGTATCCGACCGTGCCAATCGGAGGTGCAATGGCAGGTCAACAGGCTAAGCACAAACAAGCAGTTCTTAAGAAATGAGTTTTCAATCTGGAGGATATCGACGGAGTGGCAGCTAAAGTGCGGATTCCGCTCGGAGGGAACTTCCACCGCGGAGACGGAACGATGGAATCGATCGGCACGTGTGCGGCAGGTTCCAGGTGGATTGTCGCATCGAGGCACGACGACTGCTTGGGGTGAGGCCTTCATCCAGCAGTGGAGATAGTCCATTGCCGATGGTAATGGTCGACACCAGCGTTCTTCTTGTGACCTTTCTTCCGGCCCCTTACGCGCAGCCCTCAATATAATACACAAGACGTGAAGACACCACCACCTTGCAGGCGGGGTGGCGGCCAGGCGAGGTAGTTGACATCTCGGCACCACCGAAGCACACCGCCCCATACCACTCACTACCGCTCCCAACATACAGAGACAAAGAGACGCACTCACACTACAATTTAACGAGACGGATTGCATCAGCACGGCGAGGTGAGGCTGCGGGACGTTTACGGTTAAAATCTGTTCTGGCGTGGATGGTTAAGACCACATGTATTGGTCTTTTCATCAAGAATTCGGGGCTTCGTGTGCCACGGCGCAGCGGGTACATCGAAGAGGGATTGCGCTCGTGGGGATATGACGGCCCTTTGATGATAGGATGAAGAAATCCCATGCCTGAGTATTCAGCGTATGCATATGCACAGTGCGTTTGCCAATCCACTGCTGGATAAGGGCCTCCCCACGTCTCCCCACATCGTGCTGGTCGACTCGGCATCAACGCTGCAATCGTCACGATCAACTTCATCAATCATTGTCATCATCTAAACATTATCATCACAATAATCTTCATCTACACGTGTATGTATGTACTGGATGTTGAACTTATTTCGCACCGTACGTAGCCAACCGTGCTAATCGGAGGTGCAGGGGAAGGACAACAAACTAAACACAGTTCTAAAGAAATTCGTTTTCAATGTAGATTTACAAGTGCAAAGCTCCAGTGGCATCCTACTATCGGAAGAGCGTTCCAGACGGCCGCAGGAGCGCATCTGAAAGCGCGCGATGCAGTGACCATCTTTGTTCGATGGATAGCCAAAAGCCGCTGCTGCGAGAATGACCGGAAATTTATATTCAAAATTATATTTTTTCATCACCATTATCATTTTCGATCATCGCCATCAATCATTACCGTGACTACCAAACCCCGTTTCTGAAGTGTAGCGAGTGGATTGTCTCAGCCCGTTTGACTCCCATGCGATGAGCATTTCTATGAAGCAGAAGGACACTGGGGTAAGCGTGTCCCGTGGTGTGTGTATGAAATGTCACTTGAGGTTTCAGAAGCACCAGCGTTCTTCATTGCAATGCCCGCTGGCCACTCGCGGCTCCTGGTGGCCTTTAGTGCGGCCCCTGACTTGCAGCCCTCTACAGTACACAAGATGTGAAGACACCACCAGGAGGTGCGGCGGCCCTCACACTGAAGTCGTATCGGCGAAATACCCCCCTCCTCTGAAAATTAGTGAAGAACACCGGTCTACACCCACTCATGGCCCACACGTGCCAGTTGTAAGTGCACTCATCACACAATGGCTCATCACAATGAGCGCCTTAGACGGCACTGTGCTGTCAAAACTGATGTCCAACTTATACATGCCGTGCTCTATAACACACACTGGGTTGCACTGCTCCGCGAGCTTTCCGAGTGAACACGCATGGCACGACGACAACAGCACAATTGGAATACAAACTCTTAGTTTTTTCGGTAAAGTCACGTAGGTAAAAAAATGAAATAAAAATTAATAAAAAATAACTCACAACGTTTCGGAGGCAACACAAGTGATGACGGAGACTTGCGTTGCCTCCGAAACGTCGTGATTTATTATTATTTTTATTAATTTTATTTTTACCTACGTGACTTTACCGAAAAAACTAAGAGTATGAATCCTTGCAGTCACGAAAGCTTCAAATCTAGAATTGGAATACAATTGACGGGAGACGGAATAAAATAAAAAAAATTCAAATGAAACGTCAAGACTTTTAGAGAACAGAATTCCCTCCAGAGACACACGAGACAACTACGCCGGTGAGAACAGTGGCACAGCCGCGGGTGGCATGGGCCCTGCTGCAAAGAAGAATTCGCGGGAGGCCACCCCTCCACCACCCTCCCCCCTCTCAGTTACATCTCTCTCCGTCGTCGTAACGCGCTGCCTGGGTTACTCCTGGCCCGCAGTTGCGCTGCCTGCTCACTCTCTAGCCACACCAATGGGTTTAGGAGGACAGAGCAGCGACCGCGGGGTCAGAGACAGACGACCCCGGGTGGGAGGGGGGGTCAGGGGTCAGGCCCCGGTTGACAGTGGACACGCACAATCGACGCTGA